ATATATTAAATTATAATAATTATATTGAATTCTAATGCCAACCCTGTATCTAACAAACAGAAAACATGTGAAAGAAGTAGAACTGAACATACTCATACACACAATAACCAAAATGGTCACTCTTGACTTCACCTTCAGTGCTAGGTATGGAAGCCAATTGCTTTTCTGACCATTTTACTAACCTTCCTCTGTGGTGCGAGCAGACTTTGATTCACTGTCCATTCCTTGGAATTCATTGAAATAGGGGCGAACCTTAATTTCGTAAGTGACCCCCTTTTTCAAGCTGACGAGGACAGCACTGCGCTCAGTTGGGACTTTGACCTCCAAGTTCTGCCATACAGCTGGAGAAGGTAGGCCAGATGTTTGGCGATACATTACTCGGTAGCCCTGAATGAACTGGGATTGGCGGTCAACCTAGAAATGGCATTAAATAATACATCAGTAAACATATTAAAGTAAAAAAGCTGTATAAAAAGAAAACAAGACATTTACCTAGAATGTCTCCGTCCTTGTGAAAAAGAGGAAACTAACAGTTGTTTAAGACGCTGCATTTAAAAACCAAACTGCCTTCCTGTAAGTCACTGTTGATTAATTGTGTATAAGGAACATTTTTTCTCACATTACTTGCTATAGAATATTTCTATTTTACTTTCCCCGGCTCTATATATCATGACAAATACCACCTTAAATCACAAAACAAGGCCCCACCTCTGCAACAAATAATGAAAAGAGAACTTTGGCGTAATGCTTACTGCATGTTAACTTATTAAGCACATCTTGGCTACTGATGCACTGAAACAGGAGAAGAAAACCAAATTATTTTCAGAAAAGGACAAGTCTTTGAAGATACCCTACATGCCTTCAGTTAGTCATTACTTGGCTCACAGCTCAGCCTTTCATGAGATGCACAGGGAAGTAAAATAAACATAAGACAGATGCACAGAAAACAGCTTCTAAGGACATGTGCTGTTTCTTGCGTTCACAATCTAAGCCATCTCTTTACATCCTGGGGTTGTGATGCTCTCAGGCCATCAGATGGAGATGGAATGTTGTTTTTGGTTTGTATTTTGTATGTTGCTAGGCAAGCACAATTCAAGATTGGACCATACACAGAAGTTTAACAGTTCTAACCTATTGTAACTACAAGTAGGATTTCTGCCTGAAGGAAAACCTGAAAATGTGTTTTATCTCTTAGGGAAACAAAAAATGCACAAAACAATAATCTGAGGTATTAGGATGTTTGCATGAATTTTCTCAAAAAACAATCAAAACAATTTGATTGATAAAACCAAACCAAACACAGCTGCTTCTGTAGACAACAAATAAAGAGCATGAAGCACAAATAGCCAGACTATACAAAGAGCTGTTTGGTAAATCTATGGGTTATAGCTCAGATTCAACAAGTAGGATTTCTTTTCCACTCTTGACAGTTTGCTAGCTCAAAAATGTTTCAGAATTGGAGGCACATTCGTCTCACTTCTCTTAAGAATAAATGAAATTAAGGCTGAAAACACAAACCAGGTCTATTACACTCCTCCTATAATCTTGTTACAGTGTACTGGGGCATTCAGAGGGGACACAGATTCTTGGGCATTAGAAAGCAAGGCAAGCAAGAAGAAAGCTTTATTTATGAGAGCAAAGCAGAAACGTCTTTCATCAAAACTGTCACTGTTAAAAACCTTGCAACATATGTTACAACAACATTAAGCTTGCATTTTATAAACTTCTCTGCATTCACTTTAAGTGAATTTATGCACTGAAAGAGGGATATAACTCACAATAATAGCTTGTTAATACCGAAAGAATCAAGCTGTGTTTTTAAGAAGAACATTAAGCAGCTGTTTCCAGATGAAGGGAGTCTGTAAATCAGAGTAAATTGTTTTTATCCATGTTTGACTTTGATTAACTAAATGTTTTACGGACATAAAGACTCTGCGAACCTTGCGTTTCCTACAAAATTCGTCAAGAATAATACTTCCATTCACTTTGTAATACAGATTCTAACCTGAATTACAACATAAGGCTATGATGTTTAATAATCACACACTGAGTCTGATTCCTGCCTAACTTCCGAGTTTAAAGCTACACTGAAAGATGATGTAACTTTGTTCAAGCTTTCCATTTTGTCTTTGCTGTGCTTTTAATCTCTACTGACTGCTGCCTAGTGGACAACATCTGAAAATTCAGAGTTCACTAGGCTGAACAGTATTTTGCTACAAAACAGTATGGAAGCTTTCGTACAGCATGGCAGAAACACCCATTAACTCACTGAGAAGAACTGGATCCCTGTAGCATACCTATATCATACTAATTTTGAGTCCATCACGCTTTCCTATCTACCTATATATATAGGCAATATACAAAGTATTCATACACCTCTTTTCCTTCTGCACTTCTAAGTTCCTAACCTAGAGGACTAAACAACACAAGAACTATGAAAACAGAACACAGTACTACAACAAGGTTGTCATGTATGTGGGTGCTATAAACTTGCTTGATTTGGGGGTGTCACATGAGTTTCGCAGAGCTTTCAATTAGATAGGTGATTACAACAGGGCTGAGTGATCTGCCTGAATGTCACTTTATTGACAGTGATTCCATTGGTCAGGGTCTGGGAGGGTTCTTATGAAAGAAAATACTGTGCATTTTTTTAATGTGTTTTATAAGCATCCAGTTGTATTCAGTGTCAAGGAGAGGATACAAAGCTATTTCTCATGCTGACTTAAAGCTAGTCTGAATGAATAGGGCCATTCATATGGACAACATGTTGGGAAACTATGCAAAGGGCACTTCGCCTATGGAGAAAGGTGGATTTTTTTGTTTTATTTGGAGTTTTCCGGTTACTAAAAAACTGCTCCTGGATAATAACATGGATTAATCAGAGGTATTTGTGAGGTACAGGACAGGTATGTTTCCCATATACAGACACACACGTATATGCGTGTGTACATACATGTTGTGCGTGTATATGTATATATGTATATGTATATACATACGTGTGTGTATATGTCTATGTATACATGCACACAGAGTCTTACATATAATATAGAGCCTGTGACTTCAGTGTCTCCTCCATTTGTTATGTGGTAATTATGTGTCACACCATCAGCAGGCTACTAAAAATATGCTTAGCATTAAAGAACTGCATTCAGCTGTGCTCAGCATCAAACAACTCGATAGGTTTGGTACAAGTTCACACGTAGGCAGAAACACGCACCACGATTTAATGAAAGAATGCAATCGTTTCTAGTTACTCTTCTTTCTCTTTCTTCTCCTTTTTGCGAGCTGGCTGCCACTTCCTCGTACAGGGTACTTAGCATTATTACAGAAATTGCAGGAACTCTCTGCGCTGAATACTGGGAGCACAGAATATTTCTAGTCTTCCTGTGACACTCTTAACTACTCTTGAATCTGCACAAGCAGCAGTGACACCCACTCAAAAAGAGCTGCACCAGTTGCTGATCTAAAGATACACTTTCTCTGTCAAAAGAGGGAAGAAAATGCAGATGCTCTTTTAAAAGGCAGAAGAGAGCAATTACTGGATGGGTTCTTCTCAGCACTGACTTAATACTTTAAGGCGACCTACAAGCATAACTGGTCCTGCATGCTCCTTCTTACCTTCTTTTACCATGAATACATGGTGTGTGAGGCACCTCCATTTCTGCAGAACAGAAAACCCATTTTCCCTGCGTGTTCAAATCCACACACACCACAGCTGAACACGAGACAGATTCAAAGGCTACTAGATCATTCATTTAGGCTATTAGTCTGTTAAAAAGATGGCAAGAAACTCATAATGCAGCTGACGCTGCAAATGTAAGCTCCTTTCAGACAAAGCTGCTAATTTGCCCCCTAAGGACATTTTGCAATATGTTCTGTGTATGTAAATTTCTACCCCAAAATATCCTAAGAAATACTCCACTCCCACATCAATACCCACAGCAGTTCTCCATCTGGGGACAATACCTTGCACACTGTGCTGAACTCACTAGAACACACCGAGGGTACTCTCCGGGAACTCAGACAGCACTAGCGTTTATCTGTACTACAGGAACAAGACAGAAGGTAACGATACACTAGGAAACTGTCTAAAGGACTTGCCTCCTGAAGCTTCCAGTGAATTATATTCATTTCAAATCAATGTCAAATTAAAAGATAGAGGTAAATAAATGATCCTTCTGCCTGAGAGCAGCCCAGAAGGCAGGCAGGGTTTCAGAGCAACAATTCTTTTGCCATACTGAAGAACTGATTTTCATTCCTGCTTGTGCCACAGGGCTCCTTTCTAACACCAGGAAACTTTACATTTGACCACTAATGAAACTCTCAGTTTGATGCCCAGTGAGGCTTGAAGTGCTTAACTATAGTTGAGGTCAGCTAAAAAAAGTGCTTGGAGTACAAAATACGCTGTTGCAATGCTAAATGTTTTGACAAAAGTGAAAACAAATCAGGCCCAGGTTTTAAAATTAGCCATTTGATAACACTGGGCATATCTGATTCCATAAGTCTCATCGGCAATAAGTATCTCTGCACCTCACCTCTCTGTGTGTAAAGTTAGGATAATGACCCATTTTTATCATCCTGCTGGTAAATTCAGTATTATTTGTGAAGCACACAAACGTTACGGTTGAGAGCATGACAGATAAGCAAGCATGTGAGACAAACTAATAATTTTTTATTCAATGCAAGGTTTCAGTGCTATGAATTTAATAAGACCTGGCACCACACAGTGAATAAAGAAGATAAAAAGAAATGTTGAATAGCTCCATGAAGAAGAGATCCTATATGTGACCTCGTAATTACAGCCACACTTTAAAACCTATGCACAAGAGGAATACATTGAAGAGATGGCACTTCCTTTTTATTAACACTGACTCTGTAAACCAGACAAAATATTTGTGTGTGTTTTAAAACTGCAACATGCTTGCAGAGAACTGCTTCTGAAATTTTAAACTCATATTTGAAAATAAAAGAGAAAGTAAAACCAAAATCCTCTGAGAAAGAAAGGAGAAATTGGCGTTAATTTGCTGGCAGTCAGGACGCCAGAAAATCCATAACCAGGGATGTTCCTTGGCATTCACTCTTTGAATTGCAGAAAGTCAGCACAAGGAGTCTTACGACTCTCATGGCGCTTCTGTCCTTTTGTATGATAGCTATACTATCTAACCATTTTATATCAATAGTGGGGACTTTATTCTCTGGATAGAGGGGCTTTTTTCCTAGAGATTACGGTTAATTAATTGGTTTTTTCTGTTTGCTGGAAAGTTTCTAATTAGCTGTTCCAGAGATCTTTTTTTGTGTCTTTCTTCCCTCGGGCAATTTGAAACGTCTCCGCAGAGGCCTGTATGCTTTGTCAGGTTGTACAGGGTCACTGCTTTGAGGGCTCTTCCCAATAAGCTGATATCCCTAACAATTTACCTTTACCTTACCATGTTTTCTTCACCCGTATCTTGTTCACTAGGGACACCAAGAGACTCTTTTAGACAGAGATATACACGCACACATAAATATATATAGATTTCATTATAATATAATGACATTGGTTACATTGCATAAAACTGAATTCTGTTTATATTGGGCCTTCCTTTTGTGGTATATGCTAAAGCAAGGGCAAGCCTATGAAGTGTTTTTCTGATGGCTGTCACATTCAAGAAAGGGCTAAGGAGTACCGCACAAACGTAAGCCAGGTTTACCATTCCTGGTTGCTAACATCTAAGGTTTCTTAACTATGACCCATCTGCTTGGGCAAGTATCTGCTTGGGCAAAGGGTTTGCTGCAAAGGTGAGTCAGTGTGTCCTGGAGTTACGCAGCTGAAGCAGACAGCACTTTTAGAAAGGCAAGCTGCATGTTGACATCATCCATGGCAAAGTGCAATGGCACAGCTTCTGAATAATCTTCTAAAACAGACAAATTTGTGGGTTTCTCTATTTATTCTAATCTGCCCCCCGACCACTGAAATCTGTCACAACCAGTATGGTGCATAAGCTCCCGTAAATATGGCTAAGTTGTGCAAAACCAACAGTAATCCTTATAATACATAATCTATCACCACACTTATCTCCTGTTGTATAATCCCCTCTACACATTAACCTCTTAGCAATGACATGTAGAAGAAAACCCCTGAGTATTGTGAATGCTCCGTGAGCAGAATTCATCCCGTACAACTGTTTCAGTGACACGCAGTACTATTCCTCTCACTCTTCCTGCCTGTGGCTCTCCTTCCTGTGGGGAAGATGCCCCAAGAGCAAAATACTTGCTATGCAGCACCCTGGCAACTCTGTCCTCCTATGGTTACAAATCCTTTCCTTCAGGCCTCAGGAAGGAAAACACAGCATTTTGAAAGCCAAACACTGTACCAGAAATTCTACCCAGTAGTTTGACCCCTCAAATAGAAATTTTGTTAAGTACTGCCAAAAAGATTCTGGTCTTCTGTAATGAAAGGCTATCCACCGACTGTGGGTAAGGCTTATGCTGGAAAACCAGATGCTACACAGTGGATCAGGCACCAGCACCATGTGTTTCTGATTGCACTACAAGTGCCCTATAGGAAGCCTATTTTTGCATTTTAGAGTCACCGCATAATAGGGTATTGTCGGAGGTCCCTACGCCTTGAAGTGGAAAGTGCTTTTTCATACATCAATTTCATATTGATATTTAACTTTGATTATTTTTTGACATGCACAGTAGTGAGTCCACAGATCAATTATCCTTCAGATTATGGTGTTAAGCATATCCATTTTTATTGTATTTTTCTAGTCAGCCAGCCAGCTCACTTGGAGCTGAATGCTGAAGACTTTGAACCTACCTGACTCGAAAGAGAAAATAAAAGACCATTTCATTACCACATATATATGCCTGATATAATGTTAGTTTATCAGAGCACTCACATTAGGGTCAAGACTGGAGCTTTTCAGTGTGGTATAAAAAACTGCAGGGATAAATAGGCAAAATGAAAGTAGTGTTAAGGCAATAGTAACAGAAGCCTTACCGTCCAGGTGACTTGAACCGTCGTGGGTGTCAGCACAACAGGATTATGCAGTCGTACAATGACATCTCCCAGTTCTTTCTGGACTTGCCTGTGATCCACACCTTGTGCTGGTGGGCTGATATCTGCCAGGCCAGGCACACACATGAAAGCATTATTTTAGTGAGAAGAGATATATATGGCATCAACAAGAATTACTGAATAGCTTGACAGCTTGATTTAACCACCCTTTATAGTAGTGTAAGTGGTAAGTGATCACTGGTAAGTGATGAGAGACATGCAATATCCACTAGTTCCAAAATACTCAGGTAATAATAATGTTGCCCAGATGTCTGGAACCAAATTGGTTAGTATAATTGAAGAAAATGAATACGTTTATCTATTTATCTTCTCAGACCATACATGATACTAAGTCATTATAAGTTTCCAAACTTTAACTAGGCTTCCTCTCCCCACATACCATGCACACAAGAAACCCAAACACTAAAAACAGCATTTCCTTCTGCAAGGCAAATTTTCCTTTTACAGATATAACGAAAGCTACTGCAAACACAAACAAAAAAAATTATTTATGAAGCCAAACTGACCCTGAACTAATAAAAGGGCAATAAAAACTCTCAGCCACAAAGATTTTCTCTTCAAGACTATGTCAAAAATTCCTTCAAAGTGTGTGTGGCAATGATTTACTTTAGTCAAAATCTGAAGGAATTTGATCACTTAGTATACATCTATGCAGATTCCATCTGCAGCACCACATCTGGCCCTGGTACCTAGTCCTTAGGAACCACATTTGGGTTATGCCATTGTGTTAAACTGAATGAGGCTGTATTATCTTTGCTAAATAGGAACTGCAAATACGACGTACACGTCAGAAAATGAAGCAGGAGATGTGCAATGTGTCGTTTTAGTGATAGTTACTGGAAATCATAATTTTCTCTTCTATTGTGCCAAAGGAAGAATGTTGGGCTACAGCTATCACTTAGCTAATATATCACCATAGCATGTTCCTCCCTCCATCTTAGACAGAAAAGAAGGCACTTTCTAAGAGCCAGGGAAGACTGCATCCCTTCAATGGATCCCCCAAGGATCTTACAATGCTGTTCTTGGTCAACAGTTACAGATGCCCATACTATGTCAGTTGTCTTTGTGGACTGAATAATGCCTGTTAGGAACATGCATACTGTTTATTTCTGCTGGAATTCAGTTTAATTTTTCCAGAAGACAGGATTTGGAATACAAGCACAGATTATATTCAAAAGGCCCAATACATTATGGG